CCCCGGCCCCCCGATTTTGGCCTCCCTAGTTCGATTCCTTTCCTAGCGGTTTGAGGGTTAAAGGACAGAGATCGATTCGACATGCAAGTGCAAGGGCCATTTGCGTTTCCCGTGCGCGCTGCTGACGGCGGCGGCGGAGGCACGACAACAGACGAGCTGCACGTCGCCGAGCAGCAGAGGGAGGCGGCGCTACGCGCGCTCGCGGTGCGCAACTCGCCACGATGGCTCTTTGTAGCACCTGGAGCGTCGCCAGAATCCGAAGACGAGCTCAAGCTGCTTCTGCGTGCCGACTTTGAGCGCCACCACATCTACTGGAACTCGATCCGCTGGCACAAGTACGTCCCTTTCCCCCCTCCCTCACCTCTGCCTCAACGCTCACACCCCCTCCGTAAAGGTGATATCTTCTACTCACACTGTATCTCTCTGGCATGATCTGCATGTTGTGCATCTCTTCGGTGTTGTTAGCCATTTGCTGCACCATGCGGTGGTGATCTATACGCTGGGAGCGCGGCCGGAGCGGCTGGCGGAGCTGTTTGCGCAGCACGCGTCGTTCGCCCGGCCGCTGATGGCGCCGCTGGCGCAGCCCATCACGCGGCACAACTGGACGCGCATGCTCGGCCTCGAGTCGTCCTACTCGAGCTTCCTGCTCTTCTTCCTCGCCGAAATCGACGTGCGAGGCGCCGTCGCCACCATCGAGCGCTACGTGTTTGCGCGCGACGCCAACGCGCCCGGTGTCGCCATGCTTGCGCGTCTTTTTTCGGGCATCCTCCATCCCATCATCCACCTCGGCCATGCTCTCGAGTGCGGCGGCAACGACTCGCTTGCTCAGGGTAGGTGCCTCGTTCCACCACCAGAGACTGGCCATCGAAGAATGTGATTGTGTTGAGGAAGGGGGGTAGGGTTTCGGTTGACTGACCTTATCCTGTCGTCTCCTTTTTCGGGTTTGGTTTGGATAGCATTGGCGGAGACGGCGGTGTCGCACGCCGACATGGAAGCGCTGTTTCCGAGCGACGAGGTGTGTGCGATGCTCGAGCAGCGCCCGCGCTCCTCAGTGGCGGTGGAGGAGCATCGGCGGCAGATCGAGCAGGGCGTGGTGCCCGAGTTTGACGTGTTGGCGTCTTCGCAGCTCGACGCGCGCGAGTATGCCGGTACGAACGCTTTCGAGACGCTGGCGCACCTCGACGCCGCGCCGCACCTCGACGACTGCGGCGACATCAAGGCGGGTGACACGGTCATTGCCGGCGCCCACTCGCACGGCGCCGCCATCGCCGCCATCGCCCGCCGCTGGCGCGTCCATATCGACCAAGGCTGGACCGACGTCTGCCTCAAGGCGGAGGAGCTCATCTGGCTCATCACCGCCATCTTTGGAACCACGTCCAGCCCCAACGAGCGGCTCAAGATGGACTTCTTCTTGTAAGCAGCCACCCCCCTAACCCTGTTCTCCGCGGTCGGGGTAGCGGCCAAATAAAGGTGGGGGGGTGGAAAGCCGTACTGACACGCAAAACCCCTCTTGGCTCTCCTTTTCTGTCTCTTCGTGGGGGTCCGCAGCTGCCACCTGCAGACGCCGCTGTTTACGTACGCTGTGGTGCTGCCGCTGCTGACGCCGTGGAGTCGGGTGGCATTCCTGACGATGCACTTCCGGACGGCGTGCTGTTCGTGGGTGTCGCGCGGCAAACCTGCGCTCCGGTTCGGCGAGCTGTGCCTCTCGGGCGAGCGCGCTGAGCTGCGCATGCCTCCGGCATCGTTCAAGCCGGCCGCGGTCGACTACACGCGCATCCGGCAGGGGTGGGAGCGCGAGATCGAGGAGCACAACCTCTGGTGGAAGATCGGCCAGCGCGCGGCGATGCACCTCGACGAGCACGTCGCCAAGTCGCTGCGTGTGCTAATGTGGTGCGGCGCGCGCGTGGGCAGCCGCCGCCGCGGCGTGCCGTCGCTGCTCCTCCCAAGGGCCGAGTGTATGCCCAACCCGAGCGCACTGCCGCTCTTCACGCCACGCGGCACGCTTGATGCACACGTGGAGCCCAGGACCGAGTGGGCGCCCAGGCAGAGACGCTCCATAGCGCCGCAGAGCGTCGCCCAGATAGACCATACACTCTTCCTCCGCACTGCCCTGCTCGTCCTCGAGGCGCTCCCGATCATCGACGCCGATAAGGCGAGGCGCTACAAGGACACGTACAAGCACGACTGGTCGCTCCTCCCCACAGGTAGGCAGGCCGCCTACCGCCTGGATGTCTGGAAACTCCTCGCTGGCAAAGAGGCTACTCCGGCAAACCCTCGCACCGACTCCAATCTCTGCTAGAACGCCTCCCTCGCATACCCCGCTCCTTGTACCCTGCTCCTGGCACCGGATGCTCTACACCTACCAATCGAAAGTCTCTGCTAGCCCTTGCGTCCTGCTGTGCATTTCAGATTTCGTCACATGGCCTTCTTCGAACCCACGCGAAGCCGGGTCGCGGTCAGGGAGCATTTTGTGTGTGGCTGCGCACGTCCATCCAGATCATCTTTTCACTTCGGGGCTTGTCGGCCATGCCACATCGAGCATCTTGCAAAGTTTCTCATGTCGAGCAGGATCTTTGGAGTGTGATTGCGCATCGTCTATCGAAGCCACGCCGATCCCTTGTGTGTGGAGCAAACAAGGAGAGAAAAGAGAAGAGGTTGATGTGAAGCGTGGAGGAACCGGAGTTTAGGCGACCTTCTGTACGGCGGGCGACTCTTTGATGGTCTCGGCGGTCTTTTGCAGGAGGATCTGGGCCTGGTCGTAGATGGAGAGCACGCCGGCGGAGGCGACGCCACGGAGAATGTTCGCGCCTGCGCCGCGCATGAGGCTGTACGCGCCCTCTGCCTTGATGATCTCTGCGAGAGCGACGGCAAAGTTCTTGTAGTTCTGGCCCGTGCCCGAGGTCATCATCATGCGGCGCCTGACCGTATCGAGCGGGTACGACGCGAGGCCAGCCAGAGCCGTGGAGGACCAACCGAGAGCAAACGAGGCCAAAAAGTTGCCCTCCAACGGTCCGACGAGGACGACGGGCTTGAGCGAGTCGTACAGACCAAAATAGAGACCTCTATACACGACGATGCCGACGACGGACGGCACAAAGCCACGGTACAGACCGGCGATGCCGTCCGAAGCGAGCGTCTTGCGGTACACGTCGAGGAGGCCATTGAACTGGCGCGTGCCGCTCACGCCCTTGGCGTCGTTGGCCAGCCGCGTGCGCGCATAGTCGAGCGAGTAGACAAACACCAACGACGTCGCGCCCGCCAACCCGCCCGACGCCACGTTGCCGAAGAACCACTTGCCATACTCCTTCTTCTTGTCGTAGCTGAAGAGCCGCTTGTAAAAGTCCTTGAACGCAAAGTTGAGCGCCTGCGTCGGAAAGTAGCGGATCACATTCGCCGTGTTGCCCCGCCAGAACGAGACAAGCCCTTCGTTGGTGTAGGTGCGCGAGAAACAGTTGACCACGCCCGTGTACGGATGCTCCAGCCGTCCCGCCTTGATCATCGCGTTCTGGTTCTGCAGCAGCAGCTTGACCCTCTCCACCGGCGCAGCTGCCGTCTACAAGCCCACCAACAAAGCGTCAACCCGGACAGAAATGCATCAGCGCTCACCCCTCGGAAACAAGCTGCTCGAGATGGAGGCTTCGTTGTGTGTGGGGATGACTC